GTTCCAGTTATGAGACTTATTCGTATTGCTTCTTTTTACACCTGAAATAGTTGATAAGCTAATAAGCTAAATAATGCTATAAGTAAATGAGAGTTGTCTTTTATGAATTGCAGCCTCAATTTTAAGTGCACCTATGAGGAGGTTTACAGCCCCAGTAGCTGTTCTTGTAAGCATTAACCGGAAATTTCTCTGACGTAGCTCTGATAGATTTTGTATGATGTTTGCGGGTTAAGGCCGTTTTTACCATACATACCAGTATTACTCAAGAAATACAGTAATGCTGATATGTGCGTCAATATTTAATTCATTTTCTTTCTTTACTGTTTTATTAAGACCAAGCTGTGGAGGATCTTCTGAAAGAAATATAGACTAGCATTCATTGTAAATCGGATCGGTTTAATATATGTTTAGGTTGATTTAAGATGACTGCTCTATGTAGGATTGATGGCTACTCTAGACTGATTGACATGATGAGTGGTTACTGAGAGCATACATTGAAATTCCTGTTCGCAGTTGCTCATGCAGGCTATATCGTCAGCAAAATGTGGACAGCCAACATTATTTGTGCCGATTTTAAGTCATAAAATATGCGATTGATGATCCTCAAGGAGATAACAGACATATGCATTGTACAGAAAAAGTGGGAACATTCCATCCTGGAGTACCTCTTAATGAATAAGGAAGTTGCAGCAATATTTCCGTTCAAGCTTACCTTCGAGACCAGACCACTGTTAAAGCTTTTCATTCTACAGTCCACAGGGAATGGTTTTGAGTTTGATCATGAAATGCATTCAACATATTATGATATAATCAACCACATCAAATGTATTATGGCTGTCAACAGTAACCAGATACAAAGGTTCAATTGTGAAATGTTTTACTTCCGCTCTAGCCTCAGTGACAATAAGCCCATCCATAAACATAGACATGCTCTTTCTTAATCCAGATTAAAGTGTCAACAGTCTGTTAAAAATGATCTGACTATTTTAGGAGAATTTTTTTTTAAGGTTCATCAGCAAGAATTGATACATTTGTTACATAGCCGGAATGGCTTGATGGCATCGTAGATCTTTGAATTATGAATGTCGGAGTTATATATTGCATTTGTAATTCATGTCGTATTTGGCATGTAGTTTACAAAGACATCTGTAATGACCTGACAAACAGTATCGTAATTACCGGTATATCCCTTCTGAATAAGTTTGTTAAGAGTTTTGGTTGGCTTTTGATGTGAGTACTGACATTTTTGTGCTTTGTATAGAATATTACCTTAAAAGATTTGATGGGAAATACCTGAACGTATACGATGTCTGGATGTTGATTCAAATTTAAGGATGATGTCCTTGTACCGACCGATGATAACATTTAGTAAATGTTTTGACTAGTTACTTTGTCATATCAAAAACCCTGTTGTAAATACTTTTCAGTAATACCTATTGTTGTATTATTTTAATTTTAGTTTCTTGTGTACAATTTGGAGTTTAGTATGGCGTTCATTATCACTGAACTAGTATATATATTTGTTTAGGGGCCAGCTGAAGGACGCCTCCGGGTGCGGGAATTTCTCGCTGCATTGAAGACCTGTTGGTGACCTTCTGCTGTTGTCTGTTCTATGGTCGGGTTGTTGTCTCTTTGACACATTCCCCATTTCCATTCTCAATTTTATATTATACACAAACATGTAAAAGAAAATGAAAAAAAAAATTGAAACAAGTTAAACTAAATTGAAAGGATTAATCAAACTTGACCAACAAGTGACAAAAGTATTTTTACTACATATTTACCAATCATGTATCTTTATACAAAACTTTTATATACACTTTCTAAAAATAGATTACAGGTTTAAGAGCTGTTGCTTTGAAATTATTTTGAGTATTCATTTGATAATAGTTGCCAGTATCTATCCTAATGAACGTAAGGATAATATTTAGTAAACAGAAAATGGCAAATTTTAAGATCATTACTTGTAATAACGACAAAATAATTGTCAACCAAAAGTTCGCTGAAAATGACGGTGTTAACATAACTTTCGTCAAAGCATTAAATGCAATAAAATGTTTGTGTTTGATGTGCAATGATTGGCTTTTTACAGCGAATTCGATCAATAAGATTAATACGTTAAAATGAAACACCTCGGCATAACAAAATCGTTACATAATACAGACGTTCCATTCCTTTAAAGTTAAAAAGTGTTGTCATTTGGTGCGTCCGGGTTAATCATGGTATACCAAACATCGAATTTCGAATCAAAATCTTATTTAATGCTTTTTTAGAAATTTGAATTTAAAGGCATACAAACCAGAACTATATGTTGTATCCTTACAAATTAGATTTTGAAGTATCAAATTGTATTATCGTCTTTTTATTCTAATCATTACCGTATGTACATAACAATGTAAAGACAATGATGTGCAATTTTGATTATAATCTTGTAAAATAAGATCTATTGTTACGACCAGAAAAATCAACTTTTAATTGTAGCCAACAAAAGACACAAATCAATAATAAAATTTAACAAGATTTATTATACACAAGTTTACAAGAAGTATTACACAAATAGAAATGTCAACTTAACAGTCAAACTATGAGTTCAATATTTTATCGTTTCTTTATTCGGAAATCTTCTCCGAATCCACAGAGAATATTACGTCCAATGGGTCACAATCTAGTATGATGTAGTTTGTAAATAAAAAATGTCAATCCAACTGTTGAGATTGTTGATGTCTATCGATGTCTATGTCTAAATCTATGTCTGTGTCTAACTAAAGGGTCTGCATTTAAATACTTGTAACGAAAAATTCTAGATAACTGTAGATATTTAAATTACTCATCTTTTGTTATGATCATTCTGGAAACGTCATGTAAGTGAAATAGAAAGTTCTTACCATTCAATGAGTATCTATGATTGTTCCAAAGATTTCTAGACTGCATAGTTGTAACACAATGTGTATTATTTTGTACACAATGTACAAATATATAATAGGCCACACAAAACCAATTAGGCACTCTAAATTAATATGATAGTTACAATATCATAACACTATCAATCGATTATTCTTTTACGATGCGTTGTTGTTTATATTTGTTTTATTGTTTAATGTAAATACCTTATTTTCCATCGTTATCCATTAATTAGCAATGATGAACTATTCGTTTATTTGAAAAATAATGTTACAAGATGTGAATTAACTGGATCATTTGTTATTTTATACATGATGTAATGAATGTATAGATCATTTGCAGAAGACATAAGGTATATGCTGCCAGCTAACAGGATATTTGCTACAAATCATATCAAAGTTACGACTCTTTATAATTAAATCGCATTATAAATTAACAGTGACTGTATACTCTGTTAAACAATTTGTTTTAAAATTTAGTGAACACGATATCGTTATGATCTGTATCAACTTTTCTAAACACTAAATACTTACCAGTGTATATATATCGTGTAAACTGTCCAACATTGATTGAATATTTCAAACTTAGAAAAAATCCTCCTTAACTGTACGTCCTACTATCTACATTTATAACACGCGACTTGTAAATTTGAAATATTCAATGGAAAGGTATACGGAGCCACTGAATACTATAGATCAATTGATTTCATTGTCAAATTTAATTTCCTTTTTTAGTACGAAAGATATTGAAATAGCTGTATGAATCATTAAGGTGAGACTAGTTTATATTTTAAGAAAAGGATATTATCATTCGTTATCCCATTTACTATACATGCTATAGGTACAAAGTGAATCAGATGATGATTTTACAAAAAGAAAACAAAAGTGATTTCCCCTTCCTTAAAACCAGTTTTCCTCGTTCTAAGCTCCTATATCTTTTGAGAGAATAAGCTGATTTTCATTTATAACAAGAACTTTTTTTCACTTTATTGGTACATTGTAAACATCAGACGTAATACAAGGGTTTGTAAGGAGAATCGCAATAAGCTGTCCATAAAATGATCATCAAAGTCTGTTTTATTAATCGCTTTTATCTTATTCATACTTGAAATAAAATGACACTGTGTATGGAACAAAAATCACGGTTTTGCATATATATTATCTGTGTAGTTAGACGAAAATTGTAAGTCGGGTATCTTTGATGTACTAGTATCTTGTTTTATGATGTATGCTAACATATAAGGAGAAAACAACCAAAAAGTGAATATGGATCTCGATTCTCTCGATGTTTAGATCACCATGATCAGAACTAGTAATGTTTTTTTGTGGTCAACAATACAACAATAATCAGCTGCAGTAACAGGAAGATCTCTACTTTACATGGTACGGCAACATAAAGGAACTCGTTTAACATAATAATCAGGACTTTAAACGTATTGACGAAATTTCAATTGTCATAATAACTCTTTTTTTGCTGAACAACTTGATTGTTTGATGAATAACTTTTTTCTTGCATACAAAAAGTTAACGGCTTGGGATATAATGCCCATAATAACTAGCATTTTGTTATTTATTTTTGTAGTATATTTTTTTTTGGAAACAGAAAACAGATACCATTATCCCACAAATAATTCCATTAAGACAAAACAAGAGCACTGTTAAAGGACTGAAATAGCAGCTGGCTCTGACTGTATGTCTGAAGAAACACATATTTTGCATTCCAACACTAACTGCACAAGGCATCATGCTTAGCATCCCAGCTTAAACCTTGTGTGGAAGCGTTTTAACACATTCTACAGAGCCCAAGGGATGCCTAATGTCTAGCATCGGTAGTGTCAAGATTCGAAAATTACCGTATTTCTATACATCGTGTGCTATATAATTGAGGACGAACAACAAAGGGCGATTTCAGACTTAGGTTAAACTTCAGTCGTTCGTCCCCATTCAATAAATCAGATTTACATGCAAAGTGAAATTAAAATATACCAGCAGAGTTAAGCTACTAACAAGATCTTAATTAAGGTGAAATAGAAAATAAGACGGATCAGAATTCGGAAAACAGGATTAAGATAATCCTGATACTGAAAGAAGCAACCCCCTGTAGCTGCAACTGATGTTGAATACAAAATGAAATCAGAAAACGCGCCTGAGAAATTCTTTTGAAAAAATAAAATAGGCAGTATTTGAGCGAGGTTATTACGCATTTAACATAGTCCACACGAAAAATTCATTTAATAACTTTTTCTCGGTGTGGAGTTATGTAATAATGTTGAGACTTTTATCAGTAGGAAAAACACTTTAAATCTATGATTCTGTAATGATTTTGGTCTACAATGTTCTACTTTAGAAAGAAAAGAAATATCAAATAGATGAGAACTACTTACATTTTTTCAAATAATAATTATACATTTAAGATAACATTTTGATCACGACTGTAAAATGTTTTTAAATGTAATCACCGATATGGGGGTATATGTAAGCTTTATTCGGCATCGTGTGTCTATACAAAGCATCAATAAATTAAGTAATCTTAAAAAGAGCACAGTCTAGTTTTTAAATCATTAAGAACATCGAGATCTTTTTGAAAGAAAGATGTGTTTGATGGCAAAGATGAAATACATGTATATAGAAACAAGATATGGAATAAACTATATGGTGTCTTTAATGCGCTTTCATTAACAAAAGGAATTAAAAGTAGATAATATGTGAACTTTTTTATCTCTTTTTATCTCACTGTTTGCCCTCTACTTATTCAATGTAGAGCTACATAGTCAGTGAATAGCGCGAATAAAAAGGTATGTATCTGTTTCAAAACATTCCCATGGAATTCGACCATTTCTGTTATTAATTTATATCTTTACATTCATATTGTTGAATATCTCCTAGTACATGTACCTGTTTGAGTTGCGTGGAATCTCCTTTATTGGAGATATATGTATGTCCTATTTAAGAAGTAAGTGCTACTTTTCCGTTTCCATATGAGTACGATTCTGGGTTATCCGAATGTATAGTTATTGTGTTCAAACAAAGTATGTTTAAGTTAATTTTCTTTTGAAACTGGATATTGATGATCTAATATTTACGAAGAAAACGTTTTCATAATAGTCCTTTTAGGAAATACAAACAAACACCTCATCTAACATGTCTAAAATGGACTTTCAAATAAAACTGGAATCAAGATTTGTAAAACTTACGGTATTCGTTTTTTTGTTTGTATTTATTTAGTTAAACCAGAAAAATAAGAGGCATGCAAGAGCTTTCCCATTAAAGGATTAAATTTTAAATTGATCAAATATATAAAGCGTTAGTAATTTGTACAGATTTAAAAGCATTATAGAGAATTGCACTTTTTTATGCATTATTATGATATCAATTTAACAGTTTGTCTGATGTCATTGATTACAGACAAGTATTTTCGTAATTACGACTGTTCACATCAAGGTTTTGAATAAAGATAAAATCATCTTCACTGTCATTATCACTATAGTCTGACTGTACAACCACTCTATTCAGTGAATGATCTATTCCGGTGTAAATTGTCCTGTTTTCTATCCCATGAATTTTAATTTGCTGTGACCCAACTTGCTTAATTGAAACCTCTGCATAGTGTAAGCCTGGAGTGCATTCCTATAATAAATAAGTGTATATAAAGGAAAAGCTACAAAATATATGAGAATAATTTTTTTTTTTCGTTTCATTACTTTTATACAAACGTTTGGTGTTGTTTATATAGGACCTTCCATTTTTTTTAACTTAATGAAAGCTTACAATTGAAATTGGTCCAAAGCTTTACTGAAATGATCATGACCTTAACGGTTTGAGTGTTCAAACAGCAACAAACTAAGGAACGTCTTGAGAAAGGTTGTATTTATTCTAAATTAACAACACCAAACGTTTGTATAAAAGTAATAACGTGCAATAAAACACATGCCATATGAACCTCGAATAAAATTATATGCAGTTTGTACTTGTATTTCAGAACCATAAAACAAAACAAAAAATAATATTCTCAGACTCATGGTGTCTGGGTTTGTATTATATTCGCAGCTTTCATCGAAATTAAAACTGTAAAATAGAAGTTTGTAGGATTATTTTACTTCAATGTACAAATTTACAGCACTCATAACTGAACATATTTATAGCAAAAAGGAAAAATATTAACACACATGCATTTAACAAAATGTAGTTGGATTGCTATTGAGACAACCGTTCCCCAAAATTCCCTATAAAATGGATGCAATAAAGTATAAACACAAAGTATTAGCAACCTTCCACAAAAAAAAACTTGAATTTTCATATTTTTGGAAATGTTTTTAAAAAACTTTCTGGAAATACCATGTAATATTAAAAAAACTTGCATTTCTTTTAGTAAAAGTATATTTATTTCAACCATACCAGGAAATACTAACACACATTGTTTTATTCATTAATTATGTACTATAAAACTTTAAGTACTTAATTCAAATTCAGTTTTCCTATCAGCATTTCAATAATAAGTGTTTGCTTGCTGATTTAACCTAAAGAGGATGTTATTGTACAAAAAACGTGGTCAGTGAAAACAATGAAACCAATGTTTGATAAGAACAGACAATAGCACGGAGATAAGATAAAAAGCACCGAGTTTACACAAGCAATATGAAATACCAAATAAAATAGAGAATGGAAATAAACTCATCATAGATACCATGAGTGAAATTTTGTGTTTGCGCCAGACGTGTGTTTCGTCTACATAAGACTCATCAGTGACGCTCGAATTAAAAAAGTTAAAACGGCAAAAAAAAAGTACGAAGTTGAAGACCATTGAGCTAAAAGTTTAGCAAAATACAGCTAGGGTGATCTTTTCCTGAGGTAAACATTTGGAAGGTGTCAGAGATAAAAACGAACCCACCGGAAAACAGCACATGGCCACTGGATCTTCAACGCAGGGAGAAATTCCCGCAAAAATTACATTATTATCTCTCATTGGGTGTCTTATTTACAATCAATCACTATTATAACTGGAAAAGACAGGCCAATAATAATTACATATAATTTAACTGCAGTTGACTCAGTGGTATTTCTGTAATTGCTGGTAGCACCAGTGTCATCAGAAACATCAAGATCTGAAAAGTAAAGTATGTTTTTACATGATCAGAATTCCAAATTTTTTGAAATCATTCATGACAGAAATGAAATAAGAACTGAGAATTTAACACCAACTTAAATTTAAAACATACCTAGCACATGTAGCAGTATTGTAAAATTATTTTTTATTTATCTAATTATACTGTTTATATCAAGAAGAACTTACTATTGAACTGAACAAATATTGGCAATTTTATCAAAAACAGAGCCATACGATTCTACAAAAGTATGTACAAAATTGAAAAGAAGGACCAAACAAATTATGTCTGGTTTGGTAGCATTTATTATAAAATGCTTTCCACTATCTCATGCCATTAATCAGTGATTTTAGAAAAATGGTCCGTTTATAAATAACAAGAAAATAAGGTTTCAACTCCCTCAGGCAAATTTGACCCTAGATGGATTTTTCTATTTTTATGTCCATTTTTGTAATATAGCTCTAAAACTGTTTATGTTCATTTATATCCTTGGGTTTCAAATATTCGGCTTTGAGTGTTCCTGATGAAGGTAAATACAGAAAAGCGCATCGAACGCATGAAAGCTATAACGTATTGCTTTATTTTTTGTAGTTACTTTTAGGAAATCTATACATTAATATATATTCAAGTAATGAGCTTCTGAAAAATAGATATTAAAAGAATAAAACTAATTTGCCCAAAGTACAAATTTCGTTGAGAATATATACAATGTGTTAGTAAATACGTTCACAAATTCGATCTGAATATACTTTTAATACTGTTTTAAAATGGAATGCAGTAAATTCAATTCAGGACATTTTACATTTATATGTAACGTCATTAAGTTACAGTTTTCAGATTACATTCAAAATGAAACGCATTACATGTTAATTTGTGATACAATCGAAATGCTTCTCAATCTTTAACGTTTTCTATTTTGGAAGATAAAAATGTGAACCCTCTTCCCATTAAAATATAATAACTTGTTTTTCGTTTTAAGTAATAGTGTTAAAATTTTATAATACCTGCATCATGAACTGTTCTGTCAGGAAATGGTATTTCCGTTTCGGATGAATTTCCATTTGGTTGGACATTTGAATTCTGGTACATCTGATTTTCTACAGTATTATCTTGTTCTGAAATATTTAGACTACATAATGCAAAAATGTGTTTTTGTTAACACAATTTGTTTTCAAATCTTTGGTTAAGATCGTACTAAATGGATGGAGGCAACTTCATAGAGCTCATCGGACGCACGAAATTAATCAAGTGTTATCATAATTTAATAAATAACAGCTTTTTTATGATGTCTCTTCCTGCACAAATTACTTGTGCATATTGTATCTTGGTATTCATTTTCTACATTAGAAAATGCCTGTACTAAATCAGGAATATGATAGTTGTTTTCCATTCGTTTGATGTGTTTACGCTTTTGACTTTGTCATTTATTAAGGGAATTTCGGTTTTCAATTTTGCTTGGAGTTTTTTTTTGTTATATTATACTTTTCATTTAGGTCATTTTTATCAACGAAGGGACGTCATATTCGTGTTTTAATCAGTTTTCAAATAAAAACAATTCAGATTATAATAATTCAGATCTTACATGTTTAATTCAAATAATAAATACATGGAAATACACCAAGTAGGATAGCGTAATTTGTCGACTTTTTTGTATTAACCATTAAAGATCTTTGTATTCTTAAGAAAAGGAATCGGTTAAAGCTCCAAGATCAGATACTCTCAAAGTAATCCTGCAGGCTGGTGAATGAAAAAAGTTGTAAGTAATTTTGCAGTCCTAGTAAAGCCACTTTGTTTTGAGGATAGTAGGTGATTAAGATAAAGTGAACATAGGCAGTTTTTATTATTGGTAGAAATTAAACTAAATCGTTGTTTGTCCCTGGTTTCTGTTTTGTTTTTTTCTTTTATTTAAAAATTATCACATAATTTTGTATTTAAATTATCTATGCTATGCAAAAGATCACATGCATTCTATTTACCATTAATTTCTTCATTTGATGCATGCCTGAAATATAAGTTTCATTTTATATACACATTGTAAAGACTAATATAATAATATTTGCAACTAGGTTCTAATTAAAATAAATCAACCTTTATGTTATCTCTATCTATTTTTACGCAATATTAGTTAGTTCAAACGTTTTTTCAAAGAAAGATTATGTTAGTCATAATATTTTAAATTTTAAACATAAAAATCTGATTTCATCCCTTTAATTGAATTGGCAGTATATGTAACATTGGCTATTAAAGTATAATCGAAATCTCAGTGGTTGTTTCTTAATGATTTTAATCATTCTTTAATGCCTACTTTACTTAAATCTTTGAGTTAACTCTACTACTCTTTCCTCAAAGGTAACAGTTTTTGAACTCGATAACACATGAGAGGACAGTAAAACAAATCTAATCAAGGGTTAAGAGCTCAATACTGTTGATATTTGTCATACGATACATTTACCGGTATTCTGAAATTATTGTAAAAACACTTTTCAGCAGTTCAATATTAAGCATAAAGTTTATGCTTATCTAACTACAGCACATAGGTTTTGCACATATCTTATTTTTTAATTTCAAACTTGAATTGTAATAGCATTTTTGGCTCACCTGTCCCGAATGGCTAAGTGAGCTTTTCTCATCACTTGGCGTCCGTCGTCCGTCGTCCGTCGTCCGTCGTCGTCCATAGTCGTTAACTTTTACAAAAATCTTCTCCTCTGAAACTACTAGGCCAAATTTAACCAAACGTGGCCACAATCATCATTGGGGTATCTAGTTTAAAAAATGTATCCAGTGACCTGGCCAACTAACCAAGATGGCCGCCATGGCTAAAAATAGAACAAAGGGGTAAAATGTAGATTTTGGCTTATATCTCTGACACCAAAGCATTTAGAGCAAATCTGACATGGGGTAAAATTGTTTATCAGGTCAAGATCTATCTGCCCTGAAATTTTCAGATGGATCGGACAACCCGTTGTTAGGTTGCTGCCCCTGAATTTGTAATTTTAAGGAAATTTTGCTGTTTTTGGTTATTATGTTGAATATTATTATAGATAGAGATAAACTGTAAACATCAATAATGTTCTGCAAAGTAAGATCTACAAATAAGGCAACATGACCAAAATGGTCATTTGACCCCTTAAGGAGTTATTCCCCTTTATAGTCAATTTTTAACAATTTTTCGTAAATTTTGGTAATCTTTTACAAAAATCTCCCCTCTGAAAACTACTAAGACAAATTTAACAAAACTTGTACACAATCACCATTAGGGTATCTTGTTTAAAAATTGTGTCCGACTACCTCGCCCGCGAACCAAGATGGCCGACATTGCTAAAAATAGTATATAGGATACAATGCAGTTTATGGCTCATATCTCTGAAACCAAAGCATTTAGAGCAAATCTGACAAAAAGATAAAATTGTTCATTAGGTCAAGATATATCTGCCCTGAAATTTTCAGACCATTCAGGCAAACCGTTGTTAGGTTGCTGCCCTTGAATTGGTAATTTTAAGAAAATTTTGCAGCTTTTGGTTATTATCTTAAATATTATAATAGATAGAGAAAAACTGTAAACAGCAATAATGTACAGCAAAGTAAATCCTAAAAATAAGTCAACATGACCAAAATGGTCAATTGACCCCTTAAGGAGTTGTTGCCCTTTATAGTCAATTTTTAACAATTTTCATAAATTTTGTAAATTTTTACAAAATATTTTCCACTGTAACTACTGGGATAAGTTCATTATAGATAGAGATAATAGTAAGCAGCGAGAATGTTCAGTAAAGTAAGATCTGCAAACACATCACCATCACCAAAACACAATTTTGTCATGAATCCATCTGTGTCCTTTGTTTAATATGCACATAGACCAAGGTGAGCGACACAGGCTCTTTAGAGCCTCTAGTTTACCTTCCAAACATATCAGTTCTGGTTATCTTTATTTATGTCACATTGTTTGACTGGGGATGTATGCATAATAATAATGGTATTGTGATTCATTAACCATGTAAACTATTCTAATCTTACTCAATGTGAAACATAATCGATTCTATTTTACTTGATATATTTTTCATTTACTTTCTTCACATGTGATATGCAAAGGACATCAATATAGGGTCGTTTAATTCACCATACTGCAAGTGAATTTTGTTTGTCTTTTCTAAATATCAACATTGTTGAATTTAGGTTGAAAGTATTTTAGATCCTCTTTACGTCTTGATTGAAGACTACAGTCTTTTTAAATGTTATGGTATGACTGTGTTCTTGGTGTATACAACCGATTAAATTGTCATTTAAGTAAATGTGTAGTTTTAATCATCCAACAACAATACAACAATTTGAGAATACGGAGTTACTTCCGTAAATCCTGATTAAATTATGACAATGCCGGATATGCATGCCATAACGAAGAGTGACAAATGTGCACTGCACATAAAAATTATAACAAACAGCAGTCTTTTTAAACAATAATGTAAATATCAACCTGTATTTTAACAATTAAAAGTCCTTATCAACACCTGTCTGTTTAAATGTTTATCAATCAAACACTATTCATATCTTTTACCTTTTTGTAACTCTTCGACATGTGAAAAGAAAGGATCTCAACATTTCATCTAAAATGATATCACCATAAACATGATAGATATAATGTTAATATAAGAAATAGAAATACAATTGAAATTATATGTCTCGTGTGAGAAAAAAAAACAGTATGTTTTACTATGTTTCAACTTCTGAAAACTGCGAAAAAAATCTCACGCGTAAGTAACTGGGTTAGCAGTATCTTCATTATTTGTTTCAGTTTTTCACGGACATGCTCTGCATATTGATGTCACAGTTCTATGCACATTTTCACAATTGTCATCTTTCATTTGATGCCTCAATCACCAGAATATTTTCTATACAGTTTGATATTTATACCATTGCGTCGAAACTATTTTATTTTGGATATGTACTACTTCAAGAGTATGTTCTGTTTGACTGGGCCAAATTTGGTGATGTTATTTGTGTTTTTCAATGTACATGTACTGATTTTGTGTCATGGAAGTATTCGTGTTTTTACTATAATCTAGTTCAAACGATCACGATATAATTTCTCGACATCAGTGAATGTGACACGTTACTGGATATGGACAATCTTTCAATTGGTATTGACAATAAACATGTCTTCGTGCACATTTGTGAAAAAATCTTTAAGCTTACCGAAACACATGAGATACATTCGGTTTCTTTAGGGATTTTGTTGATAAGTCTTTAAAATTTCTATGATCTACTTTGTAATATACTTTGTGTCTTAGTTCACCAGCATTGTTTGCCCTTGCGTTTTCAATTTCTCTCTAATTGATTTTTTTATGTACGTTTGGTATCATTTTGCTGTTCAGTCTTTCAGGCACTATTTGTAATCCACTGATCAATTTTAATTAGTGTAGGGCTAATAACTTAGATAACATCTAGTATAACCATACTACATGTTAATGTTTTTGCCCGAAATCGGGGACTTCATCTGTGTATTTTTATTAATAGTTAAATGTGTTGTTTTTTCTGACGGGTTTTAGGACATACAGTGTTCATGGCAGATATATCCGATATCTCTCCAATTTTGTTTTAACAGTGTTTTCTTACCAATAGATGTCCCCTTCACTTTTGCTAGTCCAACAATTGTAATACAACCTCCAAACAGAACAACAGGAATCATTACAAGCAAAATTACTAATGTCTGTTCATTGTTTCCTTGTTGATTTTTTGGAACTACAACAGATATAAATGTATGAAAATATAAATGCATGCAATGCTTAAGTAAAGAGTTTCTTTATTCTATATTGGATCGAGATAAAGGGGGAGGGTAGAGATCACACAAAACATTTTAACCCCACTTCATTTTTAGCCTGTTCCAGTTCAGGAGCCTCTGACCTTTGTTAGTCTTGTAGGTTTTTTAATTTTAGTTCATTTATATGTTTTAGAGTTTAGTGTGACGTCCATTTTCACTGAACTACATGTAGCTAGTACACAATTATATTTAGGGGCCAGCTTAAGACCACCTCCAGGTGCATGATTTTCTCGCTGTATTGAAGACCCATTGGTAGCTTTATGCTGTTTTCTGCTCTTTGGTCGGGTTGTTGTCTCTTTGACATATTCCCTATTTCCATTCTCAATTTAATTTCATTCGTCGGCAAATATAATCAAATTCATAATGTTTTATTTATCAATATAAATGATATCTTTCATTGACCTGTGATGGAACCTGTTATTTAAGTTTCGATGGTTTGTTTACATGCAAATAATTTAACTGTACTTACATTGAAAATTGGTTGTCTTTATTATCATTGGAAAACTTGTTGTGATCCCTAAACTTTGAGCCGTACAATTTGTTGTCGTGGTTTCTTTTGCTCTGTCTTTCAGAAGCACATACAATTTAAAATGTTTTATTAATACATTTCGTTTTGTTTAAAAAACAAACGTCCCATGTTTATCTTGTATTTATCAATTAAATTTGCTTGACATACCTTTTAAATTGTTTAAGTCGAATGCGGTAAAGCACTAGACCTTTTTAATGTCTGTAAAAGTCTTACTGATGGGTATCCGTCTGACAATGCAAAATGTATAAATTGTCAGCCTTATCAATACAAAAATGGAAATTGAGTTGAGTGCCTAATGCAGGGATACTTTTACGTTCTATACACGGTTCAAAATATCTTATAGAAAATGTTATAGAAGTCTGTAGGTAACATGTCGTTGTCAGTTTGTTTTCGATCTATGAGTTTGACTGTCCCTCTGGTATCTTTCGTCCCTCTTTGCTAGAGGAATATATTGTTCCATTAAAATAAGTCAGATCGTGTTTGAATACGGCATACTTAAACTAACCTTCTAAATATACGTTATACTTGGTCTCATAAAAAAGTCCATCATTATTAAATCTGCAGAAATAAAAACCAATGTCTCCTTTCTGAAAATTTGTGATAATCAGTTCATAACCTCCTTTATTTTCGTGAAATACATATTTTCCTTGGTTCAGCTTTGGGTTTCTTTTTTTATCTGCAAAGTAAACTAAATTGTTTTGTACATCATTGTTGATATCTGGCCCTAACCAGGTCACACCAGCGCCAGAACTGGAACATTTGAAAACAGCAGTTGCACATTTTTGAACTTTCACATTGATTGTGTCATTTCCAATGCCTGCAATTAAAGACGATACAAATAGAATGATAAGTAAATGAATAATATTTAGTGTTTTGGTCTCTACATAATTATAAATTCTCAAGATCAACTGAAGGTTAAGCAGAAACACATTCTGATTGAAATTCGTATTATTTGTTGAAAAGTTTCTACGGCTATTGTTGATAATTCCATCCTCATCATGACGGAACATCCTTCAATTAATCACTTGTTTCATATCAACATGACTTAAAGTGCATTTTCAACAGAATATGTTGTGTATTACTCTAATGAGACATCAATCTTACTTAATTGCAATTAAAAAAAAAATCTGTCGTCAACACAAAATTACGAAAACAAATACAAACAAAAGTCATTAAGAACAAACAAAACATCATAAATTTTAACAAGCTCATGAACACGCTATGGGATAACATTTTTTTATAAGATTTAACTTTGTCCCCTTCGATATTTTTTTATCAAAATAAAAAAATATATGGTGTTAATGTGACAAACGACAACCATAACTTATTAAATTAGTACAATGAAAGAGATTCTATTTAAATTAAACCGAATTCGTTTTCATTCTATATAAACACCTTTCGCAAATGTGCCTTGTAGAAAGTAGAAGTGTTTTCATTCCGAATTAATTTGAACAAAGTAAAAATATAAATATATGTCAAAATTCGCAAAGCACACATGTTAAGAATTCAACTTACAGTATCAATAATTGATTAATCCTGTTATTATAGTCCTGTAAATTGTCTGTTATATAGGTTTGATCATTGTTGAAGGCCGTTTGGTGACATATAGTTTCTAACCTGTATTGCATTTGGTCACTGGTTGAAGATTATTTCAATTGCAATCCTATCACTTCGTCGTATTCAAAATTGTTGGTCTTTTCGATGTTTATCGTTTTTTTGCAATGGTGTTGTAAATGCTTGTCCGAGTTATGAGTTTGGATGTCCCTTTCATATCTCCTATCATTTTTCTGTTATATTTTTCGTCATTGGATATAATTTGTGGTTATTATACAATTTACTTTCGCTGTCACTGTTGTCTCATGTTAGTGTAATATAAATATACCTGAAACCATTTTTATTTGAACTGTTATCGCAAGCAGAGCTAGAATTGCTGACATTTTCAACCATGTTCCACCACTTTGACTGAATTAAAGAAATCAAGAAAAATTCTGGTCTCGGGAACTTCATTGAGGTATACACAAAATTCCAAAATGAAATGCAGAAACCGTTCATAAAGTATTAGAGTTGGGATTCTTATTAGATTGAATAGACAGTTGACTCTGAAAACCAACATCGATAAATGTTCGAACTCTAACATATACATTTCAAGTTTGGGAGAATCCATAGTAGAGATAGCGATGAGTGAACAGAGACATATTTATTTTGAAAGGATTTTATGCAAAATAATGATATTCTTTTCTAATCAAAGGGTAACAGCTCTTGATAGTGTACATAATTGTTCATCTGACACTAAAAATACGCAATACAATGTGGCATACCATCTTGTAGTTGAATTCGCATCGTATTATGACTATGGTGTGTAAAGAAGGAAACATTCTGACAGTGGAAAGTAGTGATAAAAAATAAGTTTTAATATAATATCGCTTTAAATATTACAACGGATGATACATACATTCCTTAGTCCTGTTAGTGACGGAACTGATATCACCTCATTTTGTATACTTGAGATTCTTATGTCTTTATCTAGATTTGTGATATTTGTATATATTGTATGTCGATTCTTTGTGTTTGCAATTTAGTTTCAACTTATCAATGTTTTTTTTTTTATTTCCATACAAAAATGGAGAATAAAAGATATTGCAAATGCTTTTATACCCGAACAAAATTGTTTGAAACACAATACTGCTTAAAATCACGAATGGATCTCTTAAAGATAATAAACATACACTATATAACACAACGCTTGGTATCCATCATGTTTAATTACGTGTATTGTAGTTGTAAAATTTAGGTCAAGCTCTTGTTGAATATCAAATATATAAACGTGCGTATACATATAGATGAACATGCCTTATTATTGTAAACACTTTACCTTTTAGTTGCTCTTTTTATCCTTAAGCATTTGGTTACAACAACGATACAACATTAATACCTATGTTATATAAAGTTATTGCTGATTGAAAATCAAGTTAAACTTTTATTATGTTTTTATATATCATTGTAAAGTTTATTTATTTCCGTATTATGGTACTTTTAATTTGTAACATTATGTTACCGGCACAATTTCCGTTGTTTAATATATATATATTTAATTTTTCAACAATGGATTGTGCTCAAGTTCAAACTCATTAAAAATGAAAATAAACAGTTGTAAAAAATTTGTGATAAATATTAATGTGACCGTGACTGAGAAAATGGGTCCAGATGAGATTTATACATATTTTCACCTTTTTACATTTTTTCAATGTTACTTATATGCTATCCATGAATAAAAATTTTTATGACGGTATCCCAACTGATTTTGAAAATACTGCATGCTCATAATCGGCATGCATTTGCGTACATCAAAAGTAAAATCACAAAAATACTGAACTCCGAGGAAAATTTAAAACGGAAAGTCCCTAATCAAATGGCAAACTCAAAAGCTCAAACACATCAAACGAATGGATAACAACTGTCATACTCCTGACTTGATACAGGCATTTTCTTATGTAGAAAATAGTGGAATAAACCTGGTTTCATAGCTAGCTAAATCTTTCATTGTTTGACAGTCGCATCAAATTCCTATATATTGACAACGATGTGCGATCATAACATACCAACCAAATAGTTAAAAATGTCAAATTTAGGGGAACAGCAGTCAACATTGTGTTATAATCTTAATAACTATAAAAACAAACAAATATGTAACAAAGAAGCACAAAAAAGCATATAGACAAAGCACATAAGCAAAAATGAAAGACAAGAATATTTTTTTTTTAACAATAGCACAATAAAACAATGACGTGATGTACAGAACCCGTCATATGTATCAAAGAAACTCAAAAAGGCATAAAGACAAAGCACATAAGCAAAAATGAAGGACACGAATATAAAAAATTTCATAGAACAAAAATACAATGACGGGATGTTAAAGTACAGAGCCACGTCATATGTATCAAAGAAACACAAAAAGGAATATAGATAAAATACATTAGCAAAACTAGAATACAAGATACAAAAATTATCTTAGAACAATAACACAATGACGGGATGTATAAGTACAGCGTCGCGTCAAATGGACATAACCAAAAACAGGCTAAACAGTAACAGTACTATTCATAAAGACATATCAAAGAATACTAAGACGCGTTGTTAAGATGATAAACAACGTCAGTACCCATAAGCTATACTTCGTGACCATTGTGTATTATTTGTGAAGTTGATACGGAATATTTACCAACAAGGTCTTGGTACCTTCCGATGAAATTTTTTAAGAAAACAGACGAGTCGTTCTTTGACATACTCCTTCTTCATCGACTTTCTGCTCAGACACTGGTGACGTTACAAAGTCTAAGTAGGAGCGGCAAGCTCTAAAGTACCGAATAAGTTGGGAATGTATATGCAATATGCAGGTGAAGTTGGTATTTTGCTACTTAGGTGGGGGCAATTGATACTTTCAAAATTAAAATCGTCTCGTTTGTCATATATTATGGTACTGAGATGACTATGTACATCAAGAAATATATGGAAACTCAAACAAAATTCTGACTAATTAGTTTCTTTGTTAATTGGAATGTTGTTAATGTGTTTCACCACAAATAATGTATTATATTTGGTTTCAAAGGAAACAAAACAATAAACATTCTTTACGTTGCTACTATGAAATTAAGTGTCCTTTTTGGTTGGTTTTTAATGAGTTGCTTTTCCTTATCGAATGTTTTGAATGTGTGTTTTGTTTTTACATGTTATATATATATATATATATAAAATGTATCGAAACTTCCAACGGATTTTTTTCCAAACTTAGATGAAATAAAAACTTGAACATAGTGCCATTGCTATTGCTATTGAAAAGTCTGTGTTAAGTCCATTTTTTAACAAATAAAATTGTTTCAACTTTGTTGGTGACATTAGCCTTGAGAATTTAATATTTTCAAATTAAAAAAAAAAATAGAACAGTAGACACAACAAACTTTAGTATTTTATTTCATAAAAAGCTCTGTTCTTGATTGACATTATTATTTATTGGATTCTCCTTCATCGGTCAAGTCAATCTCAGTTATATCATTACAATGCAATGGTTGGCTTTGGACAGACTATGTCATTATAAGTTTATGCTTCCAATTTTAATATAGGACAGGTTTTTCCATATTGCTCCTTGACTAACTGGGAAAAATTACAGCTATTTCTGCTGGACTTGATGACACTACCAATGCTTGGAAATCTTTAAAAAGAGCGTAAACCTAAACTTTTGTATTTCACTTCTGCGGCATATGTTTCATATATTCTCGATTTTCTTCATTTTTTTGTATAAAAAGATCATCCTGCATTAACTCGGATTCACATGTTTTTAAACAGCGCCAGCATCATCGTTTAAAATTACGTTCAGAACGTTCTATCGTTAAAAAGTATAATTCAACCGTAGCTCCTCAATAAACTCTCATCATATTTAGGTCCGATAGGACTTAAGCAAAATGACATAAATCTAGCTTCGAATTCAGACTTTTTCACTTTGTCAACTTTCGTTTTCAGTATGGGAGATAACTTATGATAAAACAAGCTAAAATACGGAATCAATAAACTCATCCATAGATACCAGGATTTAATTTTGTATTCACGCCAGACGCGCGTTTCAACTACAAAAGACTCATTAGTGACGCTCGAATAAAAAAAAGTTAAATAGGCCAAATAAAAAACGAAGTTGAAGAGCATTGAGGTCCAAAATTCATAAAACATTTTGCCAAATAAAGCTAATATAATCAATTCCTGAGGTAGGAAAACCTTAGTATTTCAAAAATTCAAAAGTTTTCAAAACAGTTAATTCATTAATATGACCATATCAATGATAGTTCATGTCAGCACAGAAGTGCTGACTTCTGGACTGGTGATATCCTCGGGGAATTAAAACTCCACCAGCAGTGGCATCGACCCAGTGGTTGTAAATAAATTCAAATGTTTGCTGCAGACTAGGATATATAAAGACAATTACGAAATACCCACACATGGTTAGCTGTAAATGTGATATAATTAGTAAAATAATATTATTTTAGGCAGCTAACAAATATTTTGCAGGTGATCCTCAAATTGCCATAGCCAAAAAAATCATTTTACCGCATCTGAACCCATTTTGTCAGACGTCGTTATTAAGATTTACATATAACACAATAATGCTGTACATGTTCCATTGAACCCTGTTTGCAATAAAAACATCCGAATGTATCTCTCTATCAACAAATATGAACTATACTAAAGATAATATGGAAGATATTTATAAACATATAACAGTAATTGTGCACTGTTTGGACGGTATATCGGCAAAAGACAACCAAATAGATCACATGAAACCGGAAAAGGATTGATGATTTCATCGTTTCTCTAACTAAACAAGAATATCATAAATATATTTTGAATGCTTTTTGTAGAAAAAAAACCCAAAACTTTGTTACGATAATAAATAAAACTTCGAACTCGAAAACTTTTTCCGATATTTTTTTTTATTATTTTCAAATTTCATCTGTTAAACCTTCTCATATCACCTCATGTGAATTGCATTTAGAAGACCCTCTGCGATGGAACATTGGGTCGTACTGATAGGGTGGGATACTTTTCGAGAATGATACTACAGCATGTACAAGGGTTCTCCGTGAACCCTATGAGAAAGTAGTTTGTCAACTTATTCTTTCGAGAACTTCATGGTTGACTAAAAACAAACACATGGTTACATTTATTGATTACAAACATCAATCATTAATTGTTCTACATGATAAAGTTGAGATTTTTCCTATAAGAATTTAAGTCTCAATTTTATATGCTTAAAGTTATGCTGACTGGGAGGTCATCCTCAAAATTTCAAAATTAAATGGTGCATGGCTGTTAGATTTAATAGTCCAACGCAAAACCCAAGTAACTTACCCTTATAACACTAACAAAATGAATATGTTTATTGATAGTTATATTCTGATGTGGATTTTTCAATTCAAACAGATGAATTGATGACTCCCCACATTGTCCAAGGAAATTCTTAATTATGATGAATTTCTTAGCAATACTATGAAGGCGTAGAGAGATTACTTCTAAACGTATTTCTTTCCCAATAATTAAATATGTTATAATATATTTTTGTTAAGAAAGGATACATAACCGGTTATTAGATAAAACCTAAAATTTACTGTATGTATAAAACATGTATAAAAGAAGAAGTAGAAAAATAATTAAGGAATGAGCAGGCAGGTTTTAGATAAAAAAAGAGGAACAACCGAACAGATTTTTATCCTTCGAAACATACTTGAGGAATTAAAGTAATGAAGGTCAGCTTTATACATACTTTTTAAAGACTTTGAACATGCATTTGACTCAGTCCATTGAGAGAGTCTATGGAAGATCATGAAGAGCTATGGATTACCAAGTAAGATCATAAGAACCATAAAGGAAATATATACCGGTTTCAAGTGAACCGTCATTGATCAGAGATAAACATCGGAATGGTTAGAAATAAATTCAGGAGTAAAACAGGGTTATACAGTTTCAGGGTTTCTTTAACCATTTTGCCATAGAAAAAATGCAGACAAAGCCAGAAAGATAAGATTGAACTCTAACATCGTTCTAGCAGATCTTGGCTTTGCTGATGACTCAAAACATGAAAACTCAAAAACCTTGCAAGAAATATATTTAATTGTCTCATTGGCAATCATACCCCATCTTCTTTTTTTTTAATTAATACTGTACAACACCAATGACTAAGACATAACAATAAAAGATGGCAAAGTAAAACATCAAACAAGACAGTATATGAAATTGCTAACAGCAGACACAACAAAAGTGAAATCAGAAGCATACGTAGGACATGTATGCGACACATATTAAGGCGTGAAGGAGACAACACAAGTAATATAGCTCTACAATGGGATCCGGAAGGGAAGAGAACTTGAAGAAGGCAAACAACTACATGGAGAAAGACAACAGAGTGAGAAAGGAACCAACTCGGATTGATAAGTTGGAACGTGACAAGAACTGCGGCATAAGATAGAAAAGGTGGAATATCAGCGTGGAGGCCTTTACTGACTTCTGGTGGGGAGAGAATTAAGGTTAAGTAAAGTTATAACATGTATAATGTCAACGTCATAAATTTATTTTTATAATTTTTTTATTACGTAAGTTTGATATCAATTATGCAAATCATATAAACCAAATGTTTTACAATATGGAGGTGTAATTGATATAAATTGATATAAATTACAAAAATAAACGATCATGACAAAACATACAGAAGAAGCAAATACACCTGAAACTTAATATATATATATAAGTTTTAAAATAAATAAAGTTCAATATGCTCATAAAGTCCTTTATATATAAGATGTGGTCTGATTGCCAATGATATAACTCTCCACAAGAGACCAAATGACATAGAAATTAACAACTATAGTTCATTGCATTTTTCGTCGAACCGGTTTCTCATCTTAGTGATTTTCATGTACGATAATTTAATTAATGAAGTAAATTGTAACGTAACGTTGCAGTTATGAGTCAGTCTCTTTTAGATGTACATTCATTCGATCGCGCAGGTAAGAATCATTTCCTGACATACAAAAAAGTTTTATGCACTTTGTATTGATCTGTTTGATTTTGAAAACGTATTTTTTTGTGATGCCAGTAACGAATTCATTTAACTAGTTTTTTCATAACTAAATCTGCTGATGTTCGTTTACAAGCTAAAATTGCTGAAAAATGCACAGTGTCGTGCATTCAAAACATTTTGTTCTACTTTTTTGTGAGGTTCATTGACATGAAGTCAAAGTATTTTTGTCTGTGGTATAAATAACTGAATTAAATTATTTGAAAAGCATTTTTATTTGATTTATTTCTTAATCTTGTAAGAGTTAAAATGTTTATCATTGATATCAAATGATAGCATATCTTTTTATTTTTTTTCATACATAATGTATTCTCCTATCCGTAACGTTCTGTATTTATAACTCACACAAGGCAACATAATCTTAGTCACATAATCAGTAAACCAATCATAACGTTATTTTTCTTCAGATGGCATGTTCTTATATGAGAAAAAAATGTTTCCCATCGTGATGCATATGTAAAGCAAATATCGTGTGATATCAAAAGCTTCGCATAACAAGTAATTATATATAAAAGGGCTTATTTACTGCAAGAAACTGGTTTTGATATGATGATGAATTGTCAATTACTGTGGATTCATTATTATTCGTTGAATACCAATTGTCTTTAGTTTCATGGGTACAGTTAAACCACGAATTACAAATTTTCTATAGGTTTTGCACGCAGAGATTGGCAAAACCAAGAAATCAAATATCCACGAAAATGCAAGTTTCCCTCAATCCACGAAAATTGATACCGACGAAAATAAATGAATCCACATTAATCGTCAAAAGAGCATCATTTATTAATTTGCATACGGCACACATTTAGTTAATTAGTAAACCACCCGATTCACATATTGCAACAATTTCTTAATATCAAAACTAGCTTTGCAGTGTCACTTGTAGCAATTTATGTAAATCACTCAAATAGTATTGTATTGTTTATAGCTATTTTCGTTACCATTAGACACTATAATAAGTTTTTCACTTTCCATTTTGTCATCGATTTGGTTCTTTTCTGCTTTATCTGAAAAAAGTCATATAATTATTTGTTTTATGTAAACTGTTTTGTTGTAAATTATGACGTACTATGTCTCGTGTGAATTGATTCCCATTTATTGTCGGGATCATTTATAGCCGGCTATGTGGTATGGGTTTTCACATGGGTCAAGGCCGTAGGTTTATGGTAAGTTTCTTATTAGCAAGCATACCACATTTACATAAAATTGGTGAACTTAAGGGTCTCTGTAAAAAGATAACTTATAAATTCTTAATGCTGATCAACACGATCAAATTGAATGAAAACTGTAGATGTAAAATAGAGCCAGAAGGTAGCAAAATCAAAATTATAAGACTCATAATTCAAAGACAAACTGAAAACAATGCTATGGGAAAAAACGAAATAAAGAGAGCAAAATGAAAATGTACAAAACATAGAAAATTAAAGGCAGAGCAACACGAAACCCATAAAGAACGGGATGAACTTAAATGATTCGGCATCCGTCGTCTTGCTCATGAAAGTATATATTTGGTGATAACTTTCATTCCGAGATGTCACATTTGAGGAAACGATAATAACAATTAAAAGATATCCCTTGTCATCAGTGAAACAGATTCTACATAACCGTCAACCTTCTTAAGATGTTGTCCGTAAAAATTCAATCTATACACAATGGAACTATTTGTTTTATAAGCAACCCTCTATTCAGGAAATCTTGATAGGAAACTAAAACTCTGGTATATTGTACCAACTGGCAAATATATTCTCGATATGCAGGCACAGACTAAAAGAAATTTATTTAACAATTTAAAACCATAGGTCATATTATATATGGTTAATGAGTTATATCACTATATGCCTAATTTTTAATATAAGAGGGGAGAAAACTGCAATTTAATGTTAGCGTACCCTTTCAACTAAAATTTATGTGTTATGGCATGTCGCAACTTACAATTTAGTAAAAATATGTTGTCGATATCTTATACGGTTTTTGAAAAGAATTGAAAATAAGCCAAAATCTAAATTTAAAATATGACCTGGACCTCTGACCTTGACCTAATTTTCTTATTTTTGGATCAAAAACCTTAAATCAAAAGATCCTAGGTCTCTATCACTTATGGTTTACAAGATAGAAATGCATATCACTTATTTCAAATGCATAAGGGGAAATAACTCTCATATGGAGTGTTCATATCGCTTCGGTCAAAATAGGACAAATCATGCGAAGGATATAACGAGCAATTTTATAAATAAATTTGTCGCTTTCTTTTACGGTTACGAAGGAGATGCAGTCACAAGGAAAACAGTGAATAGGGAGATAACTCTTACAAAGAAACCTGTTTGGTTCAGGAGGGTTAAAATTTAAAAGCGTATAAACTGTATGATACTATCACTACAAACCAGTAAAAGTCTGAAATGGCCTATATTTGAACTCGACTGTACTGATTTTTACTCGACCAGTCTGAATTGGTCTGAAATTTATTTGATAATACTCGACTGTAGTCTGAACCATACTTAACAGTCTGAACTTGTACTCGACCAGTACTTAACCATTTTATTTTCGTCTGAACCATGCTCGACCTAGTCTGAACCATACTCGACCTAGTCTGAACCATACTCGACCTAGTCTGAACCATACTCGACTAAGTCTTAACCAACCTAGACCAAATTTTTGTATCTATCTATTGTATTTCATCAATTTAGGAACTGTTTTTAACAGCTATTTCCCCTGGCTAGAAATTTGAACAACAATTTGAAATTTAAAATGTATTCAATATGGCATTGAAACCAAAATCTCACAATAAACATAATATAAATTCAACACCATATTTATCAACACTTATATACATACATATATATATCACCTTTAAAATAAAAATAAAACAAACTGATCAAATAATCTCAAAACTGAATTGTGACTAATATTTTCAATGTTATTCAAATTTTTTTGAATGTTTCTGATATATTTTATGGTTACTGGACAATTTTCACCATTTACTTAAGCCTTGTATAGATTTATGGTGTCAGTTGAGTTTAGTTAATAATGCAGTGAACATTTTTTTTATTAAAATATATTATAAATAGTATATAAAGCAACTTAATAAATTTTAAAAATAACACCTTTGTTTTGTAAAACCAAGAATTTAAGATAATCATGATAATAGAACTTCCATAGCAATCCTTGATAACCATTTAAAAAAGGAAATGTGATTCTAAGTTGCAGAAAAAATTTATTTCAATTAAATTTAAATAACTTTTGTCAAAATTAAAGATATGGCATACAAGAAGCACTTTAATAAGGTTTATTTACCTCAGTACATGTGTGTTTTACAGGTTAATGAATGTTAATTAGAAATTAATACTCTCTGACCAGGTGTGATCTTTTTAATGAGTTTGCCCCAAGCAGGAGGTATTACTTTATACTGTACCACTAATCAGAAGAAAAATTTATCTATTTCTTTAATTTTTTTATCCCCTTTTGATATATATTATATATAATATATCCCAAATTATAATAAGAATAGATATATTTCTAATATAAGGTTAAACAATTTCAGTGATTTTTTGGCTGTTGTTACCTCATTAAAAAGATAATTATATAACTATTGTATATAACCATGAAACCTATATAGTTTTTCTTTATGAATTTAGGAAAATTAAGTTTTAAAAAAAAACCACACACATGCCAAACAAGAAGCACCTTAATAAGGTGTTATTACCCTCAGTAAAGGTGTGGTTTTTAGTTAAAAGAAAATCTTTTTTTAACAAAACTCTTAAACTTTAAAATTAATATAATTAAATTATTATATAAGATAATTTGATTTAAATATCTCTATTTGAAAAATCTGAGAATCATGTAAGGATGTAAAAATATATTTTTATATATATCTTTATTTTACTGTGGCTGTTTTCATGTCAGAAAAAAGAAATTAATTTTAACAGCTAAAATTAAAAAAAACAAATATAGGTTTTTTGGTCAAGTACGGTTCAGACTGGTCGAGTATTGTTCAGACCTTTGGTCGAGTATGTTTTAGACTGAAAAAAATTGGTTGAGTACAGGTCGAGAATGGGTTAAGACTGTTTCAGACTGGTCGAGTAATAGTTCAGACCATTTTCAATGGCAAAGATAAGGGTCAAGTACAAATCAGTACAGTCGAGTATGGTTAAGACTGGGGTCGAGTAATGTCGAGTAAAATTCAGACCAATTCAGATTGGTCGAGTAAAAATCAGTACAGTCGAGTACAGATATAGGCCATTTCAGACTTTACTGGTTTGTAGTGTATATAAGAAATATCTAAGCGACATATTGCGAAACAAAAATTTTACGCGAAAACAAAATTTGGCGGAAGAAATTATTTTAAATAATAATAATTAAAATTCAGAGAACAATTGAAGGTCTTTCCACCCATAAAGATCAATTTTAATATAGAACTATGAAAATTCAGTTTGAAATATCATATCCAGCGTCAAATGATAGCTTATTGTACACTGATTCCAAAAATATATGGTTTCTAGACATTTTTTCTAAATAAGGGAGAAAAATTGTTACTTCCAGTTTGAAATATGTCAAATACGGTATTATTTGATAGTTTACTTGATACTGATTCCAAAAATATATTGTTCAATATACTTTTACATTAAATAAGTACAAAAAATAGCTACATTCCGGTTTACACAAGGTCATTTCCGGTTGGCTTTTCCATGGTCAAGTGTCTTGCAACGTAATGCAAGAAGTCTAATGGCTTTATCATGTATACATGTATACATGTATACTGTTGTCAGGTCATTAAAGATTGCATATTTTGGCTTTAATATTGATTCACTTATAGGGTCTTTGCATCGGAATGAAATATATTTATTCTAAAACCAGTTGTTGGCATGACACGGATTAGGTTCTTCTCATATATTTTATGATGGTATAATACTAAATCCCTAACAGGAGGGATTGTGCCTGATATTCATATGATGAAGACATAATCTTTCAATCAGTTTAATTGAGGTCTGGAGCTGGCATGTCAGTAACTGCTAGTAGTCTGTTGTTATTTATGTATTATTGTCATTTTTTTTATTTTCTTTTGTTTCCTATTCTGACATCGGACTCGGACTTCTCTTAAACTGAGTGTTACTGTGCGTACTGTTGTACGTTTGTTTTTCTACATTGGCTAGAGGTATAGGGGGAGGGTTGAGACCTCAAAAACATGTTTAACCCCGCCGCATTTTTGCGCCTGTCCCAAGTCAGGAGCCTCTGGCCTTTGTTAGTCTTGTATCATTTTTAATTTTAGTTTCTTGTGTTTAATTTGGAGTTAAGTATGACGTCCATTATCACTGAACTAGTATACTTTTTTGTTTAGGGGCCAGCTGAAGGACGCCTCCGGGTGCGGGAGTTTCTCGCTGTATTGAAGACCCACTGGTGGCCTTCGGCTGTTGTCTGCTATATGGTCGGGTTGTTGTCTCTTTGAAACATTCCCCATTTCCATTCTCAATTTTATATGAGGTAAAAGCAAAGGTCAAAATCTAGAACGTCAATTTTACCTATGACCTTGAGTTCAATTTTAAGGTCATAAACCAAGGGCTTCAAATCAAAAGACCATAGGTCTTAATTATATATGGTTAATGAGTTATATCACTATATGCCTAATTTTTAATATAAGAGGGGAGAAAACTGCAATTTATTGTTAGCGTACCCTTTCAACCAAAATTCATGTGTTACGACATGTCGCAACTTACAATTTAGTAAAAATATGTTGTCGATATCTTATACGGTTTTTGAAAAGAATTGAAAATAAGCCAAAATCTAAATTTGAAATATGACCTTGACCTCTGACCTTGACCTAATTTTCTTGTTTTTGGATCAAAAACCTCAAATCAAAAGATCCTAGGTCTCTATCACTTATGGTTTACAAGATAGAAATGCATATCACTTATATCACATGCATAAGGGGAAATAACTCTCATATGGAGTGTGCATATCACTTCGGTCAAAATAGGACAAATCATGCGAAGGATATAACGAGCAATTTTATAAA